ATAAAATAAAATAAAATAAGGAGGGGTTGCTGTTGCAGATGTCCTGGACTACAGGACAGCATAGCTGACTGTGACAATTACAGAGAAACAAAGACTGGTTGCAGGAAGCTTAGAGAGGTAGGCGGGACTGGATTGAGTGACTGGCAGCATAGTGGGAACGGAAAAGACAGAAAAGTCAAATATTATTGCAGATTTCCTGCCAGAGGAAGGAACAATAGTACCAATTTATTTCCTGTCAGAAACGTTTAGACAAAATCTTAAAAATATAAGGTTTCCCTACAGTTATGCACATTGACACAAACAGTGCAAAAATATTTTTAATTTAATTCTGGCATATGATTTCCATTTCTCAAACTATCTTCTGACTTTTTTACACAAAAGTACTTAAATGAGCCTCCATTCCCACAATGCCAAAAAAAAAAAAAAAATGAAAGAAAAATGAAGTTATTTAGCACAGACATGCTGAGTGCATGAGGTCATACCTGAAAAAGTTTGATTTTCAAATTGGATCCACAAATATCTTTAAAAGTCCAGTACCCCCGCCCCCCCACAAACAAACAAGGTATTCCAAAGTGTTCGCTTGAACTTGAATTACTAAGCCAGCCAAGCACAGGAGTTTTTATAAAATGTGACTGACTTTAATTTTGGCAGTGAATTAAAAAAAAAAAACAGGAACAACAAAAAGCACTACTCTTTGAAACCAAATAATGAGGACAAAGGCCTTCAAAGCCCACTCATTCTTTCAAAAACTGGGTGTCCTAAACTTGAGTCAGCAGATTAGTTAGTGTTAAGCAAAAAAGAGGAGACTTTTGAGCACTGTCATTTTGTCTCTATAAAGCTTCCCAACATTGCACAAATATACACCTACTTTATGAAAGGAAGTACTAATTCCCTTAAATTAGGAAGGACTGATAAGGCAAGGTGACACCACACCTCTAATCCCAGAAACAGAAGAAAGTGGATCCTTCTGAGTTAGAGGATAGCCTGGGCTACATGAGACCCTTGTCTTAAAAAAAAAAAAAGAAAGAGAGAGAGAGAGAGAGAGAGAGAGAGAGAGAGAGAGAAGAAAGAAAGAAAGAAGGAAAGAAAGAGAGAAAGAGAAAGAGAAAAAGAAAAAAGGGAATAAGTGTTATATTGTTTATGTAGCAACACATTTCCTGTGTATATATTTACGCATTTACATAGAAGATAAATTATAAGGTTGTCTGTACTTGCAGAAAAAAGAAATGCCACTTGTATTCTCTTAAAGCAATTTTATAGATGCTGAAATAAAAATCCTTCCCCCACTGAGTGGATGAGTCTGCTTATGAAATAAAAATTAGATGTCCCGTACTACTGGTACCTAGCAACCCCCTTCACTCAACTCCCCTGGGCTTCTCCCACACACTATTTCATCAGTTACCTAGGGAGTTTGTGAGGGATGGGTTAGTCTTTTGTTATAAGAGAAAACTTCAGCACATACTGTACTCAAAGGAATGTGTTCAACTAATTTCGAAAAATGGGTGAAAGCTGTTTATTTTCATCATTTATCTCCTTCAGTCCATTAGGCGAAAGGACTCGATTCTCATTAAGTTACCCCATCATCCCTAAAGAACTTGATAACTCTTTCTGTCTAAACACCGAGAGCCCATCCTCTACTTAAATGTCACCGGAACACCAAAATCATTTTCAAGTTTTCCAACCCGTTCTATCATCAGAGGCCATACAAGTCAAATGTGTCTAAGTTTTTCTATAATTTTCTTAGACTTTGCCACAGTGGGCAAAATTTTACAATAATTCCAAATCTATAACATCACTTGGGGAAAAAAAGAGTCATCTGTTTTAAGACTACACGCTGATGACGGAATGCTTACTGCCGAACAAAAGGAGGAATTATACCTTAAGAAAAAATGAGAGTCTATACCCTTAACGCTGTAAATTGTTTAAATTTAGTATAACCATATGGTCTCTTAGATAACAGTATTTCAACCTCCGCCTCCTTCGACAGTTACTACCAAGTTTTGACGTGAAATGGTGGTTAGGGATCAGACTTAGATTCTAAGAAAGAAGAGACTCGCGTAGAATTCAAAGAGGGAAGAGAAACCAGAGAAGAGAAACGTGGTGGAGAAAAAAAGAAAGAAAAAAGCCCGTCCGAACGCGCCAAGGAGTCCCATGTAACGAGGAAAAAGCCCTTCTGGAGCCGATTTCCCCGAGTAACCCGAGCCCCAAGCGCCGGGCAGCCGAGGGGCGAACTCGGAAGTCCGGCCGGGAGAGAAGCAGCGCGGCGGCCCCGCAGTGAGGCGCCGGGAGCCGACAGCCTTGCCCACGCGCGCTCCCCGTTA